TTCAAAATGTTGACCCTTTGTGGTGGAGGTACTTGATGGAGTGGTCCGATATTGTCCATTTTTGCACCTGCCCTAGCACTTACGCAAATATTAGGATTCGCAAAGTTCGAGCAAAATCGGATCATCCTTTCTCTTTCTGTGCAGAAAATATATTTTTTGCAAATTTCGACCTTTTGTGGCAGAGGTACTTGATAGAGTGGTCCGATATTGTCCATTTTTGCACCTGACCTTGCGCTGTTACAAATATTAGGATTTGCAAAGATGGGGCAAAATCGGATCATCCTTTCTCTTTCTGTGCAGAAAATATATTTTTTTGAAAATTTCGACCTTTTGTGAGGGAGGTACCAGAAGGAGTGGACCGATGTATTCCATCTTCACACCAGATATTACGCTAATAAAATTATTGGGATGTGTGAAATTTGAAGATAATCGGACTCTTACTCACACATGTTATAAGAGTTGTTATTATTCAAAATTTTGACCCGTTGAGGGGAAGGTACTTGATAGAGTGGACCAATATTGTCCATTTTCGCACTTGACCTAGCACTGACAAAAATATTAGGATTTGCAAAGTTGGAGCAAAATCGGATCACCATTTCTCTTTCTGTGTAGAAAATATATTTTTTGAAAATTTCGACCTTTTGTGGGGGAGGTACCAGAAGGAGTGGACCGATATTGCCCATCTCCGAACTCGATCTAAGTTTGACAAAAATATTACGATGTACAAAGTTTGGACCAAATCATCGGGTACTCCCTTCGAGAGTTATCGTACGCACCAGCCAGCCAGACAGACAGACGGACGGACGGACGGACATCGCTAGATCGACTCCAAATGTCCTGAAACGGATTTGGTCCAAAGAGACCTAGGGTCTAAAACCGTTATTTCGACTAGGCACGTTTTGACCGTATCAAATGATATATACCCTCTGTAGCCATATGGCTGAGGGTATAAAAAATGTCAAACTGAACAAATTGTGCATTTTGAGTCGAATCTAGAGTTTATGGTGGATTTTTAATATAGTCCCTCTCAAAGTGATTTCATGCATGCTGTAGCAATATTATTTGGTACGAGAGGTACAAATGTCTCCGTCAACTTTGGTGGAAATCGCCGTTGTTTATAGCTCCCATATATTAGTTCCCTTTGATTCTAAATTATAACTGCTCTAAAGCCATAGTACGCATTCAAAAAAATAGTTATATAATAGTTAGTATTATGATCTTCACATAAATAATTCGAATATAAACGATTATTTGTTACGAGTATCAGGGTATCATTAATCGATCCCGCCCGAATTGTGACCTTTCTTTACTGATTTAATTTTATAATGTAAGCTTAAAAAAAAAATATATTAAATCATTGGTCTTATAGTTTGGGAACCCCATTAATATTTCAAAACTATGTACCCAAAAGAATTTTAAAATTAGCTACTTGGAAAAAATTTATGTTTTTTTCCTCATCCCCCATTATGGCATTTATGTATGTATACCACAACTGTCACCTTTCCCTCCATTTCGGTACTTCCACCACTTTTACTTTCAAGTTGTTCGATTTTGGTGGTCATAAAAAAATACATTTCAGGAATTTCATTGCACTTGTTTTTGGTCACGGCGAATGATTGAAGTTTTGCGAAAAAAAAAAAATAAATAAAAAATGACATAAGATTTGGATTTGAATGACTAAACAAAATCAAACGAATTCAAATATAATAAAATACATTAATGTGACTATAATTCATAAACAATAAAAGATTAATGTTAATATTGATAGGAAAAAAATTAACAAAAACCCCAATTTCAATATCAGAAACCTCATTATGAACAATACACAATACAGTAGGGTGACCCCATAACGTTCGCATTTAAATGGAAATTTCTGGTAAAAAAAAAAAATTGAAGATGACGATGATGTCTTAATTTTGCAAAAACTCTCCGACTTTGTAAAAAAAATTTCTCAATATCGGGTTATGGCTAGCTCTCTTGCAAAGCAAAATACAATAGCAAATTTAAAACAAACAAAAAAAAAACGAACGTAGTAAACAATTAAACAAAACCTTTTTTATGAATGAAAATGGAGAAGACAAAAAACCAAAGAAGAAGAAGAAGAAAAAACGACAGAAAAAATACTATAAAGCAAACAATTCGCCAAGTAATTGCACAAACAAACTTAATACTTGTTTTTGTAACACAAGTTATATGGGAGAGAAAGTGGTTATGTGGTGCTGGGTACTAGTTGTGTACTAGTTATAAATGGAATTATATACAGTTTTAAATGGAATTTTTGCCTTGAAAAGGAATTCCTAAAAATCAAAAATTATTGCCTTTTCAGCAAAACTTATTTTTCTACCAAATGGCAGACATATAGAATTGTCTGCCATGAACAAAAGTTCTCTGAACAGGCCATTAATTAATTTAAAACCCTGTAAGGAAAGGTCAAATGTCGGGCGGGGCCGACTATATGATACCCTACACCACTATGTATATTTAGAAGAGCCCACGTAACAAAAAAGTTTAGACTGAGAATTTATGTGAAGTGGATCATACCACCAACTACGATTACGATTCGATTACGATTTTATTAATAAATATTCATTAGAGTAATAGATATACCGGACCGAGTTTCACCAAATGGTAAAATTCGATTGAATATGGAAAAATATATGATATTACATATATTTGCTCTCCATGTGCATCATCGAAGCTATATAAGAATCTGAACCGATCTCGATAAAATTTGGCCGAGGTATTTTCGAGCAGTGCGTGAAACCCGGTATCAAATAGCATTGTTGTAAAGTGCATATTACGCATGTGATGGACTTTAACACCAACGTCGGATGAAACATATATATGCGAGCTATAGCTATATCTAGACTGATTTCGATCGGATGTGCCAAAATTCAGGTCATTTTGGACAGATATTGTTTATTTCGTGCACAATCACCCCAAAATTGCATCTCAATCGAATAATAAATGCGACCTGCATATGGTACACAAAAATACATGGACAGACGGACGGATGGTATAAATTCTCGGTTTTATCACGTAAAGAAAAAATATTGAAAAATCATAATAGAAGCCGAAAAGATCTTCTCATAGAAGACGTAAAGGTCTTCTCACGTAGAAGACATTACGGTCTTCTTCTCACATAGAAGACGTTAAGGTCTTCTTCTCACATAGAAGACGTTAGTTCCATTCGCCATTGAGATTTTCGTTGCCTGCAATTTCTAAATTATGGCTGGAAGATTTGAATTCATTCATTCACTCATCTAAATTGAATTCGCGTTTGGTAATTAAGAAAGCAAAAAAAGACAAACTTGCGTCCCCGAGAGCCCAGAAATTCAGTTATCTCCAAGCCATAACGAGTTCATGTTGCAGTGACATCAATGAATAATGAGTGAAATGAATGAATGTGGAATGGGCGCCGCCGTTGCTATCGTGGGGGTTATTTGTCATCACCGACTGATTGGCTGGTGCAGTTGAAAAAAAATTTCTTTTTTATTTCTCCAAACCGAGAGGAGAGATCATGATCATGAAAGACAATAACAAACCAATGTCGTTATAGATTAATTAAATGATTCACAGACTTGAAGAAGATGGGATTGGGCGTGGGGGAAGTATTAAAAAAAAGCTATTGCAATTTTCGAATAGAGATATTTGTTTTAAAAAGTACTTCAATTTAAAATTGGGAATTGACTAAATCTGAGTTTTTTTTTTTGCGAATTTGTCAAGTTAATTTTCAATTCGATATTTTAACAAGTTAAAAAGCAGTAAGTTCGGCCGGGCCGAACTTTTAATACCCTCCACCTTATGCAACGAATTTGGAAATTTTTAAAAAATAAAATCCTTAAAAAATTCTGTTAAAATTTTAAAAATACCGAATATAGACGTTATATTGGGGTCTATACGACGTGGACATACATAGGCATTGTTTGTCATAAGCCATTACCATATACAAATTCGAAACTTGAAATAAACGGTGAATAATGTAGCTAAAATCATTAAAATATCGTATATAAGGAAGTGCCGTTAAATTGGAGCTGTGCGAAGACCTGGACCAGCATAGACAATTTTCTGTCACAGGCTGTCCATTACGAACTTCAAATACCACATCTCAAACAATTTCGGTGGGTATTGTACCTAAAATCATCAAAATACCGAAAATATAGGGAGGTACCGTTATATGGGGCCTATACGAAGACCTGGACCCGCACAGACAATTTTCTGTCACAGACTGTAGTTCACATAACGAACTTCAAATACCAAATTTGAAACAATTCCCCTGAATAATGTCGCTAAAATCATCAAAATACCGAATATCAGGAGGTACCGTTATATGGGGGCTATACGAAGACGTGGACCTGTACAGACAATTTTCCGTCTTAGGGTGTAGTATCCATTTTGAACTTCAAATACCAAATTTGAAACAATTCACGTGAATAATGTCGCTAAAATCATCAAAATACCGAATATAGGGAGGTACCGTTATATGGGGGCTATATGAAAACGTGGACCTACATGGCCCATTTACGAACTTAACCTGCCTACTGGAAAAATAAACATGTGTGCAAAATTTTAGACATCTACCTCAATTCATTCGAAAGATAGCGTGATTACAACAGACAGACAGACAGACAGACAGACGGACATCGCTAAATCGACTTAGAATTTTACGCTGATCAAGAATATATATACTTTGTTGGGTCTGACATGAGTATTTCGAGGAGTTACAAACGGAATGACAAATATACCCTCCATAGTATGGTGGAGGGTATAAAAAATGTAGTAATTTTCAGAGGTTTTAAAATAAGAACATCTCTAACAAGTTGAATTAGACCAATTTCAGATAGTTAAAGGCGTATTTCGGTATTGTAGCCTTAATCTTCTTAATTTTTGTATATTTCTAAAGCTACAGGATTATCTGCAGTCGAATTTTACATATTCTCTAACAAACGTATCCAATAACACACTAATTTCCAATATTTTTCTCCTCTCTATTTGTGCAGGCGCTGGCGAATCTGGCAAATCCACCATTGTCAAACAAATGAAAATCATTCATGAATCCGGCTACTCCCAGGAAGAATGTGAAGAATATCGCCGAGTCGTCTACAGCAACACCATACAATCGCTGATGGCAATTATACGGGCAATGGGCCATTTAAAAATCGATTTTGCCGATCCCTCCAAAACGGAAGTGGCTCGTCAATTCTTTACGTATGCCTCGGCGGCGGAGGAGGGCATTTTATTGCCCGAACTAGTATTACTGATGAAAAAATTATGGACTGATGCCGGTGTCCAACAGTCGTTTTCACGTTCACGGGAATACCAATTGAATGACTCGGCAGCCTATTATCTCAATTCGTTGGATCGTATTTCAGCGCCAAATTATGTACCCACACAGCAGGATGTGTTGCGCACGCGTGTCAAGACCACAGGCATTGTGGAGACACATTTCAAATGTAAAGGTTTATATTTCAAGTGAGTATGGCATGAGATGATCAGAAAAGAGGGGGGAAATTATGGCAAAAATAACAGCAAAAAACAAGCAATAAAGTTTGTGGAGAGCCCTCTTCCAAGTGCTCCCCAACTTCATTTCAAGTCCACACCAAGTGTAATTATTTGAAGTATGGAATAGCCTTTGTAAAAGGGGAAACTTTTATTATTTTCTAGGGCTTGGAATTCCTCTTCACAACTTGTTGTTGTTGTTGTTGCTTATTATGTTATTTCTTCCACTTAAATTGAATTGTTGCATTCTTTATTTCATTGTAATTATGTTTTTCATTTTTCCAGAATGTTTGATGTCGGCGGCCAACGTTCGGAACGCAAAAAATGGATTCATTGTTTTGAATGTGTGACAGCAATTATCTTCTGTGTAGCATTATCGGGTATGTATTTATGTGTGTCAAGAACATTTTGTGGAATTCAGATTTTTCTTCGCCTTCTTGCAATATTGGAATCAAAACAGAACACAAAGATACATAAGAACGGGACGACGAACGAGGCTGGGCTTATCGTCTTTGAAGGTTCACTAATGGATAGATCCAAAACATGCTTTCTATGGGAATTTTCAACAATCGGAAACAATTTTTTGAGTGAGTCAGTGCTTGAATGGGACTCTGAATGTTAGGGTTTGAGTGACACTTCAAATGGATGGGCCCCAGGAAATAAGTGATACAGGGGCTATGTAAGTTAAAATCAAAAGTCGGCTCCGCTACTGTGCATAATAAGCAGTTTGCAGATAAAAAATACACGTTTATATGGGGAATTTGTGTAAAGTAAATTATACCAACTTACGACCTTAGAGCGGTTGAACTTTAAAATCAAATAGAACTAATATTTATTGCTAATCTGAATGTATTCCCACTAAATTTGACGGAGTTAAGGTATTCATATATTGATACATTCAAACACTACAGTATGAATGTCGCTCTTGGAGTCCACTAACATCAATTGTTGTTGAATAACATCGATTGCCTTAACAAACCGTGGTAGTTTTGTAACAGACCTGTTTTACTTCTTCTTTTTAAATTCTCTATAAGAAAAGCCTTGGTAAACATTTTAATTTTTTCTAGCAAAGACTTACTGTCTTAGAAACAGTTCTTGTGGACTCCCATAATATACCATTTGAAATGTGTCTAAATAGCATTTAAATTGAATTTTCTCTAATTTATTGGCAATTTTTTCCAAATCAGCTTGCCTTAGGTCTCTATGGGGTCTTCTTTAACTACCAATAAGCTTTAATTGGGGTTTACGTAAAGTTTTTGAACCGGATGGTACTTAAAATCCTGATTGACAGGAAAGTTTTCTCCGGCTTACGTGTGGTGAATTATTTTGTACTTGCCTTTTTACTGGGTATTTGAGGTTGCAGCACCAGATGTCAAAGTGTTATTGGCCAAAGAGTCAGTTCTTTTCGAGGTCAATCCTCGGGAAGTAGCAAATTCAAGGGAACTATTTGGTTGCTGTTGACTGCTTTGCACCTGATGTCGATATGTTCTTGGCTAAGGGGTGACCAACAGATGATCAGGTCTTCTCGAGGTCTCATCTGAGACAGTACAGAATTCAAGGAAACTCTTTGGTTGCTGTAGACTGCCTTTGCACCAGATGTCGACATGTTTTTGGCCAAGTGGTGGCATACAAATGTACAGGTCTTTTCGTGTTCACCCCAAGGAAAGTACCGAATTCATGGAAACTCTTTGGTTGCTGCAGAAAAGGGTTCTTCTTTGCCGAAATCTACTCCCACTCCGTTATTGTCGAATTATTCTCATCGGTAAACTTCTTTTGATCTCATTGCTGACGACGATCTATATAAGGAGTACGGAGTTGTATGTCTCTTCATTTTTATTGCTAGTCTATATCTATACGAAATCGCTGGAATAACAGTTACAACCATGACATTATCGAACACAAATTAACCGATGCAGACATCGTATTTCGGCACAGGGCTCTGCCCTTTGAATGTCATTTTTCCATGACTTAGTTTTAGAGGAGTCCGTATCAGAGGAAGAAATACTGATAACATAAAAAGACCAAAAATATGTTAAAACCAGTAAAGAAAGTCTTAAAGTCGGGCGGGGCCGACTTTATGATACCCTACACCACTTTGCTAATTTAGTAGAGCTCCACATAACAATTAAAAGTTTTTATGGGAGAATTCAATCATACACGCTATGATTATAATTATAATTTAAAATTCAAAGGAATAAATATGTCGAAGCATTTGTATATTTTCAATACGGATTTGTGTTGCCCATTTGGTGCACAAATAATTTAAAATCTGATAAAAATATATATGGAAGCTATATCCAAATCTGAACCGATCTCGATAAAATTTGGCAAATATATTAATGAGCTATATTTGATATATTTCCCTGAATATCGTTGTTACGGAGTGCATATTACGATTGTGGGTAACAAATATAACAAATCGGATGAATATGGAGGCTATAGCTATATCTGAACCGATCTTCACCAAATTTTATATACTAGCTTCTAGGCTCAATTCGGTCGTAAGTGCCAAATTCCATCCCATTTAGACAAATATTAGACGTTTGGTGCACAATAAAAGTTAAATCGGACGAAGTTATATATGGGAGCTATATCCAAATCTGAACCGATCTCGATAAAATTTGGCAAATGTATTTCTGAGCAGTATATGAAGTATTTCCCCAAATATTGTTGTTGCAGAGTGCATATTATGGCTGCGGAGGACAAAAATAACAAATCGGATGAACAATATATATGGGAGCTATAGCTATATCTGAACCGATTTCGATCAAATTTGGCATACTTATTTTCAGACCTAATTTGGGTGTATATGCAAAATTCCATTCAATTCGGGCTGATATTACTCGTTTGGTGCACAATAAATAGTAAATCGGACGAAGATATATATGGGAGCTATATCTAAATTTTGACAGACTATCTTCAATTTCAATAGGGTTCGTCCTTAGGCCAAACAAATGATCTGTGCAAAATTTCATCTGGATCGGGCAATAAATGCGACCTGTACTTTGTTTACAAAAATACATGGACAGACGGACGGACGGACATGCATAAGTCGACTCAGAATGTGATTCTATGCAGATCATCAAAAGGAACTATGGGTCTATCTCGTTTCCTTTTGCCTGTTACAAACAAATGCACAAAGACATAATACCCTGACCACCTTGTGGTGTAGGGTATAAATATCAGATCATCCAACTAAATTGGCCGATTGCTAAGAGCGGCTGCAGACTCATTAAGAAGCTGAACTGCGCCGCTGACAGCCTACGGATTCCAAGGTCAAGGAGAATCACATGTTACGATTAGAAGGTCATCTAAGTGAAGCCATCGAAATCGGGAGACTACGTTATCGACTGTTTATCTTTAAAAAAAATATGATTAGAATTCCCTTTAAAAGTGATCGTAGCAAGTTTGAATATTCTACAAAATTATTTGTTGTCAAATTCTATTATAGCTCCCAGGTGACATCGATTGCAATGTTATAATGAGTAAAATATTCTATTTTAACTAATAATTTCTTTAATTTTGCTATATTTACAGGCTACGATTTAGTATTAGCTGAAGACGAAGAAATGAATCGGATGATTGAATCATTGAAACTTTTCGATTCGATTTGCAATTCAAAATGGTTTGTGGAAACCTCAATAATACTTTTCTTGAACAAAAAGGATTTGTTTGAAGAGAAAATCAAAAGATCTCCATTGACAATATGTTTTCCTGAATATACAGGTGAGTGGTCAAATATTACTTTTCATTATTCAAAAGGTCTTTTTAATGAATTGATTTATATATGTTTACAGGACCCAATACATTTGAAGATGCTGCTTGCTATATTCGAATGAAATTCGAAAGTCTAAACAAACGTAAAGATCAAAAGGAAATCTATACACATTTTACCTGTGCCACTGATACAAATAATGTACAATTTGTATTCGATGCCGTCACCGATGTCATAATTAAAAACAATCTCAAAGATTGTGGTTTATTCTAGATACGTTTTTTTTTTTAATATTATTATTATTATTAAAATAATTATTAATTTTATATATATGTGTGTGTGTAATTAAACGAAAAGAAAATCTAGTATGTTTAGAACTAATTTTTCTATGATTTCACTCACTTCACTCACATGCAGTCAAAGTCATTCCATGTTTATTATTTTTTTGATTAAGATAACAGAAAGAAAGGAAAAAAGAAGAGCGAAAAGAAGTAGAATATGAAAGTAATTAGCAATAGAATCGATTGATTATGATTCCAAATGCCCTCAGCATTCTACTCCAGTTCCTCCGTCTTGCTCTGTTTAACATTAATGTGTAAACGACCATGGCATTTTCATGACGAGAACAGAAAACAAATTGAAAAACAAACATTTCCATTCAATTGAAAATCATTATTTTTTTTTTCATTATTCACCCCCACAAAAAAAAAACTTTAATGTTATTTTATTTACATTATTACAACGACACATATGATTATGTATGAAAAGCGTAAAAATAAAATAAAAATTATTTCCCCCCTTTGGAATTGAGAAACATCAATATGTCTATATGCTACATACTCTAGTGCATTATTTATAAAATTTATTTAATTTTTTTTTTTCTATTTTTAATTCAAAAGGCCTTCTTGTTAGAACCACAAATGTATATAATAAATTTGATATCGTTTTTCTCTAAAAAGGGATAGTAAATAAAACAAACTGCAACTATTAATATTATGAAAAGATTCGAAAACAAATTTATTTCAATTGATACCAAAATCATCCTATACTTAAGGTCTGACAAAATATAATTAATGCAAATTCTCAGCGTGTAAGAAGGCAAGGCCTATGTAAAGGTGAGAATACATAAAACGCTTTTTTGTCTGGCCTAAATCATCGGCAGGCTTCTTCGTAAAAGAACAAAGGAGTTTTAGGTTGACTTTGTTCAACTTCGGCCCATATTTTATACTTTGTTGTTTTACAACATAAACCAGTAAAAACTTGTTCTATGTGCTCTCACTTTAATGCAAGCCACACACAATACAACTGGTTGTACAACTTCGAGAGATTGTATTCAAGATTGTTTCGTTTGTGGCGAAGTTGTACGAAGTTGTGTCTCGGTTGTACAAAAAATCAAAATTGTTTGATATTTGGCATGTTGTACCAACCGATTGTGACGTTTTTGTTATTTTTGAAGAAGCAACACCATTGTTTTGCACATGAAAACAATACGAAATCTAATCAAATATGTGAATTTATTTCATATATATTAAATGGAATTTCAATTTATAAAATGGAAATTCAAAAATCAATAATAAGTAAAAACTATGGAGTCAATTAAAGAGCATGAATGTTTTTCCGATGTCATCTTAACTCAAATAAACTCTACGAAAAGTGCAGTTGTACAAAGAGGTTGTACACTAAGTTGTATCGTTTGTAACCGAAACATACAATTTGAGTACTCTCCAAGTTGTGCAACCAGTTGTTTCGCGTGTGGCTTGCATAAGGTCGGACAAGAAGACTAACTTTGACCACAATCAAACAATAAACTTAGTTTTGTACAATTGTGAATTTACTTACTTTGAATTTCAAATAACAGTCGTGCATTTTTTAGATGGGCTTACAGGTCCATCTTATAAGGCCATTGTGTGTATTTAAAATTTTTGGATTTTATTTCAATAAAATAAAATTGAAAAATTTGAAAAGCATACATAAAATTGGTATTTTTCCTTCAGCTGTTAATTCAGTTTTGATTTGAGTAATACCAAAAAGCAAAGTTATATATACAAAGCAACATTTTCGATCTTAATGCAATTGAATATGCTTTCGAATCTTTTTAAATAATTGGGTTCCTTTTCAAAACTCCTTCAAATAATTTTCAGTGTCCGGTGGAAAATGCACAACAAAATTGTGAACTTTTGTAGTCTAAAAATAAGGCCTTTTTATTTAGTTCTTTTCCAAAACTACTTTGGCTACATACTTTATATACATTATTATAATAGTAGATGCATTCCTTTTTGTTTTAGACTTTAAACATGACGTAACTACTTCTTCTTTTCTGCTTACAACATAAATATTCATTTCCATATCTAGCATTAATATAATATTTTTTAAAAAGCCTAACCTAATTTTATAACTCAAAAATATGTGTGTTTTTAAGTTGAAATTTATAATGACAAATTTAAAGAATTTCACAAAACTTCTCATCCTAAGAACTAAAATAAAATCCCATTAACAATGTCCACTTGTGAATATATTTAGCTGATGACAAGGGAAATATTTCCTTCTGAAAATAGATTATTTTCTATTTCTCTGTTATTAAAATAATAATATAAAAAAGCAAACAAATAAATACAATAAAAAATATTCATATTTATATCACATACTAAATAGAAACTATTGGGAAGAAAGAAAAAAACTTAACTAACAATTGATTTTACATCAGAAGAACTCATGGCAGAAATCCGAGCTCAGGCTTGAGAGCTGGCTTTTGATGCTTACCGTTCATTTAGAGTAGATTGAGCTAGCGAGAGTAAGAAATTTCCTACAGATCACCATTTAGTTTTTGGCTTATTATTACTTGTTCTAATATTATGCAATTGTGAATCAATATGCCCACATAAGCATGACAACAAATATACAAAATTAAAACACACATTTTTCTCATATTATACAATACATACATGTCATTTCAATCAACTATCAGAAAGAAAACTGCCAGCAAAATATGTGCTTCTCTGCTGCTGATTTGTTTAAAATTTTATGGTTTTTTTATTCAAAACGAAGGCATCAATTAAACGAAAAACGTGTAATGAAGAAATGAATAATTTTGTTATTTAAACTATTTACATACCTACATTTTTTTTAACTAAATAAGTAAACAAAAGTGATTATTAGTCTTAACAAAATACAACAAACAAATTTTGTCATAAAATAAATTAATAAAACAAAAAACAACAACTATACATTTTGGACAAATAAAGAGAATTTGTTTTAAATAAATTCAGACTTTTGGTAGGTATATTAAACAGAACACGTCAAACGCCATGATTTTTACATTTTTCTAAAATTTTTTTTGAATGAAAGCAAAAAATGGCCTTCAAACGCTCAAACGCCCAATGAAACCGTCACACGCTGCCCGAATGTTGCTCTGCGGTAGTGATCGACACTTGCTTGAAGTGATCGACACTTTGGTATTTTTTTGTGCCAACCTTGCTTTCCAGACACAATAGTCCAACGGATTGGTATCCGGAGATTTTTGTGGCCATTGTGTGCTGGAAATGAAGCGAGGAACCTCATTTTGTAACCATTTCTGGGTGGCGCGAGCTGAGTGCGATGGTGTTGATGAGTCCTGTTGGAATGTCCAAGGTCTGCGGCCAAAATGTTTGCGTGCCCAAGGCTTTAATACACCCTCTAGAATATTTTCGCGATAATATTCGGCATTTTTTCTGATGCCACGGTCGATTAATACGAAAGAGAGCGACCATCGGCTGTTATTGCGAGCTGAGTGCGATGGTGCTGAGTCCTGGTGGAATGTCCAAGGTCTGCGGCCAAAATGTTTGTGTGCCCAAGGCTTTAATACACCCTCTAGAATATTTTCGCGATAATATTCGGCATTTTTTCTGATGCCACGGTCGATTAATACGAAAGAGATCGACCATCGGCTGTTATTGCGGCCCACACCATCACCATGGCCGACGCTTGAGTTCTGGTGGGCAACCGAAGGTGCACACAAATTCTCACCAAAATGCTTTTGCACCCTTGTAAACTGAAATAATTTTAACAGCTGTCGGACGAATGGCTTAAAAATGATAGCAGTCTGAAGTTGGTTGCAGTTTTTTAATTTCACCTTGTATATGTTTCATTTCCAAAACAGTGATATTTGCTATTTGATACCTCTTCCAAGTTCTATTAAAATCGTTTCAGATTTGGATATGCACCTAATATACGACATCTTTATCCGATTTCAGGGCTTTTGTGTGCCAAATTGTTAATATTAGCCCGAATGAAGTGGATTTTGGCACGCACGACCGAATTCCGCTTAGAACCAGCACCTCAAATTTATTGAAAATCGGTTTAGATATGGCTACAACTCCCATACATATGTTTCCTCCGATTTCGTCTATATGTACTTTATCAGACATCAGATACAACTCAGTAAGATCTACTTCACCTAAATTCCCGATATATAAACATTTATATGTTACGGGTAGGTTCACTAAATAGGCATGTATAGTGTATCATATAGTCGCCCGACTTTTAACCTTTCTTTACCAGTATTAATATTGATATAGCACGTTCCAAATCCATATCGAAATCTCTCTTTATACTTCATTTTTGGAGAGGGCGTCAAAGAAAGAATTATTTTATAATAAATTTCAATGTGGGTCTCTGAAAAAAAGTATTTTGTATTTCAGAATATACAGCGCAAAAAATATAATCAATATTTGCTAATAAAAAATCTTGTTTAGCTTATTGGAACATTTCTGATTTTTTTAGGTTGGGTCAATTAACGTTGATTAGTTCTTTGTTCATACCACTATTGGTTTATGATATAACTTTTTGGTCTATGATATACTTCATGCAACATTTCCAAAAGAATCTGGCCCACACTCTCGTAGAAGAGAACTAAGTCGCTACTGACTTACAGTACGTTTATATATATGAGGGTTAACCCACTGGATTTGGATTTAAATTGTCATTTTCATTACTTTTACTTCAAATAAATCCTCTCAAAGTAGGTTAACCCTACAAAAAGTACTAACGTAAACATGGCATTAAACTTGTTGCTAAACCTTACTTAAAACTTGTGGCGAGTATCATCACAGGGGTCTGCAAGATAAGGCAATGACCTTGAAATGGAACAGCGAGGACATTGATTACTGTAGAATATGATGAACAAGAAATTGTGACGATCGAACATCTGTTCTTCCACTGTTCAGCAGTCATTCGGCCCAATTACGGTTGTCGTTACTATAGTCGTCGTCGACTTTATGTGCGAGTCGCCCTCGCCGTCGCTTCGATTCAAAAATGGTATTACGGTAAGGCATAGCAGCGACATCGACAGTTTAAAAAAAAAGTTGGCAACAATTAAAAAAACGTTGGCAACACTCCCTTGTTATTGACAAAAAAAAGATTTTTTTTTTTGTATTTTGAATTCTAATTTCGACTCTTTTGGAAAAATAAAAAATATAGTGAAAAAATGAAGATAAAAAATGCGTTACATATCTTAAGTTCAAGTGAGGATGAAGAGAAGAATGTATTAGTAGTACAGCGGCGAGTGTTAAGGTAGCCAACAAACATATTTGAATTGTCTGGCTCATGATTGTGTTGTTCCAAAAGTTTATGCCGCTCTTTCAAGAGTTCAATAGTTTCTACTTTCCTTGATGACTTTTTACCATTGTTTTTTTTTTCTGGGTGATCGAGAAGCTTCAATAGTAGGTTACATCAGTCTCGTCATCAGAATTGTCCACTTGCTCATTTTCATGAACTATAACGTCTATTACACTTATGTTTTCCTTATTTTTCTATTCCAAGTGCACGACCTGGTGCACTTGTAAAAAAAATTACTGAACTTTTGAAACTGCATTATATTTGCGACAGACTCCTCCAAAGGCGACAAAGTCATTTGCTTAAAAATGTCAAATCCAGTGCTGCTGGTTTCACCCTTGTTGTGCACAAGTTTCTTTTTAGTTTTAAATTTAAATCTTTTAGAAAACTGTAGCATATAACATGGTAATTTGAGGAGAGATGGATTTAGAGGCATTTAAGAGAAAGCTGGAGCACGTTTTGTACCGGCCTTATCGCTCGTGGCAATTGGTGTGGGTTCATAGCTTCCATGCCTTCCTCTCGGCTACATAAAATTATTTTAAATTTCGTGCTCAAAAGATAGGAAAAGAAGAAGAAGCGACGAATTAGAGGGTTTAGTTGATGGTCTTGTTAGGACGTCCAGATGGTTTGCGTCCGAAATACCCTCCCAACCTGATCATATTCCGAATTTTCATTGCATAAAAACATTAGATATGATCCCTAACTTTCACATTACTTCCTTACCCTTTCAACAAAGGAATCAGACCGTAGAGAATTTACACAATGCAAATCATACTGCTTTTATTAATAACAAAATCCATAAAATTCATAATTTAACTATAGCCTAATTTCACTTATAAGATTCAATATATTTAAATAAATTACTTAAACGAACTAATTTTAATGAATCATAGTGTATACTGTAACCCTGTGTATCCATAGGATTAATGAAATTACTTAAAACGAACAAATTTCAAAATTAATTAATTAACAGCTAATGTAGATCAAATTAAAACAAATTAATTACGCACAACCCTAATGTTTCATTTGTATCTTCTAAAGAAAAAAAATCTTTGACATATTACAAATGTAACAATTCAACAATGTTGATTGAGATTAATGCACAAGAGCTGAAGTTTTAAAATTGTTCCATTAAGAGAAATGATAATAACGGAACAAATGATAAGAATAAAAAAAATAAGAGAACTCACTTACATTAAATGCTGCTTGATCTCGTTGCTCCCACGATGAAAGGCCTTTCGTTGTGAACAGCTAAGTTATTAAGTAGATGGTCAGTGACAACATTTACAACAATCTTTTGATCTCTCTCATCAACAATGTTGCTAAACATTTGATTTAAAATCTGCAACACGCTTACAATTAATACGCTTAGCAACTAGGAATGTTTGAAACATGAGAATTAGCTAAACACACAAACCGGTATTAATGGAATTGTAAATATGTAAACAGGAATGTTTGGAGGTTGGTTGTAACAAATATATGTCGTGTTGTGTGTTTATTTAATTCTATATGATGTAGGTAAGAACATAAAAAAATGTGACTTTTAAATTACAATAGCAATGTTCCAGGTTATCGGCATACATATTTAGAAAAAAAAGTGACTTTATAAATGAAATTTAATTAATCTAATTGAGTAATAGTTAACGTTTTACGCATTTTTCCATACTACATATCGGAATTGATCTATTGGTTAAATTACTTCCTATTATTGCCACCGATATCCCGCACATTTTCAAAATATTTTAGAAATCTTACTCAATGCCTGTATCGAATTTTGTAGTTTTTGACGATAAATGATTAACCAAGGTGTCTGTGGCAATGGTGTTTACTGGATGTTGAGGGACTGTAGATTTTGGTTTGGAAAGGTTATGACATCTTAACCAGGATGAACATTTTGGCAAGTTTTGGTAGTTCAATATTTTCTTTGCTCACTTCTTTGGTTTCCTTAATTTTTTTAACTTTTCTTATTGAATTTTTGTGACAATATTTCGTTTATGTTTTTTTTTTTTCTTGGATATAATAAAAAATAGTCTCACGCACAGCACTAGGGATAGATTGCAAATAAATGCTGCTGATCCACAGAATGAGAGCAGAGGTGGTGATAAGCAAGAAATAAACCAGTATTCTTCTTCGATGAGCTTTGATTTTGCTGT